TGACGGTATCCAATGGTGGATGAAGGTTCACTGCATGTTCGGTCTTTCCAGTGCACAATGTTGATTTATATTAAACTTAACTCATATCTGACTCCAATTTTAGTATGAGGTGGTTTAGAATATTAATATATTTATCCTCGTTTTATCTGACTCCAATTATAAAACATTAAGAAGATTATATCAATATGTAATTTAGATAAATGTTTGAACCGTTTGTCTTCACTAGTAACTATTACATCCGTTCATTCGGGTGCTCATGTCGCTCAGAGAAATCGCCTCGGCTGAAGGCGTCCCTCACGGTCACACTCCGGTCAGTCTTGAATATTAAACAGAGGTAAATTGACTAATACTTTAGATGGCCGCTACCAGCGCGCTCGTTCTAAAATACTTTAGTTAGTCCCGCTTAGATGTACACCTTTGAGTTAAGACAATCATCATTTCTAATTAGAGGTTAGGGCATTAATATAAATGTACCCGACTACTGGACTCTATAGTAACTTTGGTTTTCACCAAGCCCATGGTTTCCCATATGAACTTAATTTAGAATAATATTACCTTCAAACAAAGGTCGGGTACCCAATCTAGGTTAGTCGTGCAACACCTTGTTGACCTAGACGGAAGTTATCGCCCTTTCCACCTAAGTACACATGAATCAATATCAAGAGTCAGCCGGATCGCTAAAACACAATTAGTGTGCCAATGCTCCATCTCAATTGGATTTTAGTCCGTCTACTGACCTGACGCAAGACGTGCGGAAACAAGGATACAGCGTAATCTACTTGAATTAATAATTACAGAGTGAGCAAAATATGGTCAAACATTACAATTTATTAGTCAGGTAAATGTATTATGCCAATTCAATCAGTCAATTCATAAATGATCAATACAAAACATCAAATTATCAAAGATAAATCCAAGATGAAAAAGATGCATTCCTGACTTTGAAATATACATAACATGGGGCAGACCCCATGTTATGGGCTGATCTGGTTAGGCAGAATCGCCCTGAGTTTTTCTCAACCCTTACCTTAAATAATCCAAGAATTCCCTCAAGGAAGGGGGTGTGAATAACAAAGAAGGCATTCACACTTAGTGTAAAAGTCACACCCCTCATAGTGATTTAAAAGATTCCTGAAGTTATATATTTATTGTTCTGATTATGTCTATTTCTGAGAGGATGAGACCATTGTACCAATCGCACTGAGACATTTCAAATGATATCAAACATGATAGTTAAAGTCAGTTTGGTTAATCTAAAACATTGAAATGACCATATGCGTGAGTTGGGGGGATCAAGCTGAGTCTCAGCATAGTCAGATGCAAATGCAGCAGGAACTGGTTTTTCCCGCATTCCTCCCTGGTGGGTTGTGAAGTCACCAGTCTCTGTTTTCAGCTCATGTTTTGAATTGTCAAAGATATCAGAATATTTGCAATATTTCAATTCTTACAACTTGCAGTTTAATACATGCTCACAGTATGTTCTTGTCAATGTCGTTTCAGGATACCTGGTTCTGAGAGATCTTGGCTTCAAAGTGGAAAAATACGTGGCCTCTGAAGTGGATGAAGAGTCTGTTACCATTTCCATGGTCAACCACGAGGGAAAAATCACCTATGTTGATGATGTGAAAAAAATTACAAGGAAACACGTATGTTTGCAAAATGAGTATTTTAATTATGTATCTGAAGATGATTCCTCTGCAGTTGGCTTATTGAGTTTTTTTCTTATTGTTCAGATTGATAAATGGGGCCCGTTTGATCTTCTAATTGGTGGAAGTCCTTGTAATGACTTGTGCACAGTCAATCCTGGCCGTAAAGGCTTGTTTGGTAAGACAAATCTGTTGCACTTTACACACAATATGATTTGCCTGGCATCATGCAGCTTTATAGAACTAGAATGCACACTTTTAATAAAGGTGTGGCAACCTTTTTGCTGATAATCAAAAGTCTGGATACACAAGCACATGGTTCACATCATGTTTTTTATTGAAGAGACTTCTGCTAAATGTGCCTCATTTTAAAACCGATAATTACATGTAATTGATTGGTCTGCTTTGCTCTCTGCAGAGGGCTCTGGACGGCTGTTTTTTGAGTACTACCGGCTTCTGAACGTTTTGAAGCCGAAAGAGGATGACCCACGGCCCTTCTTCTGGCTCTTTGAGAATGTAGTGTTAATGGAAAACAGGGTTAGAGCGGACATAAGCCGCTTTCTGGAAGTGAGTATTTTACTTTATGCTACATAAAGGTTTGATAAAGACTCTCAGCAATTCATGCAAATTTAGTGGGTGTTTGTTTCGTAATTTTTTGAGCTTTAGTATGTGACCCTGGACACAAAACCAGTTGCGTTTCACAGGTATGTTTCTGGCAGCAGCCAAAATTATATTGTATGGGTCAAGATTACCCAATTTTCTTTTACGCCAAAAATTATTGGAATGTTAATTTAGAAATTAAGTATGTGTGATTCTGCTTACCCGACTGACAGTAGCTATGTTTCCATCCAAAAATGCGAATGAACTTTTTGCAAAACTGGATTATCGCATAAAATACATTCGAATAAAGCAGCGTTTCCATCCAACGAGTCAAATCGAACAAAAGCGTCACTTCCTGATTAACTGGGGCCAAATATCAACAGTAAAAATGGAATTTGCTGTGGTAGGAGTAGCTGCATCAATCTTTTCTTCATCTAATAAATGACTTGAGCTTCAGAAGGCAATCCTGAGATGCAGTGAACGTGCTGTGGCATTTGAAGGTGTCAGACACAGAGCACAGACGCTCTCGATTCTTGAGGTCATTAATAATATAAGACTAATGCTTAAACGGAGGGGCATTTTATAATGACCAAAGCCACATTTCAGATGGTTTACAATGCTCAGCCTGGTGGTTTGTCCATTCACACACATTTTTATCATGACATGATCACTTACAACAAAATCACATGACCTTTTTAATGCGCATGCTGGAGTTTGTGCGGTAAAAGTGTTTCCATTGTAGTTTATGCGCATCTTTTCTTATCGAATAAAGTTTATCCTACTCGGTTATGCGCATAAATTTTTTAAACGCATTTTCAAAATCTATGCGCATCTTGGCATTTCCTTCAACCGTTTTTTTTTTATGCACATATGCAAAAAGGTGGATGGAAACAGCTAGTAAAACTTCTAAAATTTAGAAATTTTATTTTAAGTTAATTGAATTTTACTAACAAAATTGTTTTAATTTTCTTTTATGCGAAAAATAAATGGACAGTTAAAGATGAAGGTATTTTGTACATTTCCTATCCACCAAACTTTTGGTTAGTATTTTGCATCGTTAAACACAACATCAAAGGTGATTTTTTTTTTTTTTTTTCTCCCCAACCCAGGAATTTCCAAATTTTCAAATACTGTTGTTGTTGGCCCAATATTTTGTTACAATATGGTAATATTTGACCTATTACTACAACAACTTATACAGTATTTAAAAATCTGGTACTTCATGGGTTTTGTGTTCCAGGCTTGCAAAAAACTTTTGGTTATTCAGTAAGCATTTTGATTATCCATTTACACAAACACTGTATTTGGAACTTGAAAACCTACTTCCCAAAACAGTTTTCATTGCTCAAAATGTTAAAAACTTAAACTTAACGTCTAAACTGTATGAATGTGAATTTATGAAAACAGTGAAGTCATGAAAATGCACATTAAACAGATTTGATTACTCTATAGCTATGCACAAGTAATTGAGAACAATGGCAGACCACAGAACCTTATGTGTTCTGTCGTCTAGTATTTCTTTACAAATGGACATCGCCTGCAAAATACAGCATTTTTAGTCAGTTAAATTGATCTTTATGAACAGGATTTTTTAAAATAAAAAGGAACATGGTGTTAATAGATTTTTGTAGATTCCAATGATGTCTTGAGTGTATTAGATTTTCTTTCTCGAATCCTAACCTCACATTTTTATAGCCGTGTTTATTAGTCGCCTGGTATAGTATGTGTGTGTGGTTTTTGTTTTTAGTGTAACCCTGTGCTTATTGACGCTGTGAAAGTGAGTCCAGCTCACAGAGCAAGATACTTTTGGGGGAACATACCTGGCATGAACAGGTGCGTCAGTTGTATTCATGTGACTGTCACCCTCACTTATAAGATACTGTAAATGAATATGATATTGGGACTTAGTTTTATTTCTTTTTTTTTTTGACTAGACCAATCATAGCATCACAGAAAGATAAAGTCAGTCTTCAGGACTGTCTGGATGGAGGCCGCACTGCCAAGGTTTGTCATGAGCTTCCTACTAAAGATATGCAGTCATTTGTTAAGATAAGTACGTTTAATATTAAGTTCTGAAACCATGTCCTATTTTGCAGTATGAAAAAATACGCACCATTACCACACGGCCAAACATACTGAGACCAGGCATTGATGACAGGCATTACCCAATCGTTATGAACGGCAAAGATGACAGCCTGTGGATCACTGAAATAGAAAAGTAATCATAATGTTATCGATAATAATAATACAACTCTTTTAGTTTTCACTCAATCACAATAACCTGTTATTTGCTTTGTCAGAATATTTGGATTTCCGAAGCATTACACGGATGTGAAAAATCTGGGCCGCATGCAGAGGCAGAGAGTACTGGGGAAGTCCTGGAGCGTTCCTGTCATAAGACATCTTTTAGCACCACTGAAGGATTACTTTGCTTGTGACGAATTCCCTGCAAAATGAAGAGAAATTTATGAAGCATTTTGTTTTATTCTTCTTCTTTGTAAAAAGACTCAGGGCCACAGTAGTTTACTTTTTTTAATTGTTTTTGTAACTTAAATGAATGTTATCTGTGTAAAGTTATCTCTGAAGTGCCAATGTAATAGATTGTGTAGCTTTCCCATGTTGAGCTGTGACTGAAATGAACTGTTTTGGTTTAGCGTGTTCATAAAATTGAGCTGTTTTCTCAGTGTTCTCTATTTTTGCTGTCGTTGCACTTATTTATAATTGAAATGTCTATTTGTAAAATAACTTAATAAAAACTAAAACAAATGTTCATTGTCTAAACTTAACTAGATATAAATGTATAACTTGGCGTAGACTACAATGTTTTCCAAAATATTCATATAATAAAAAACAAAATTCACTGCAGGTCTTCAGTATTTCAGTTTAAAATATCTGGCCCATTTTGCTCATAATTTTTGAATACATTGCTGTTAAATGATGCGATTGAGATAATGCCAGCGTTCATATTTTTTCGTTTTTATATTAAAGAAAACATTTGTTATGATTTTCTTGAATGTGGCTCAAGAAAATCGAGACTTTTATTTTGAAATGTGATTGGCAGAAGCGTGGTCTGGAGAGACAACCACAGCCATTACAAACTTTTCCCTTGTAAATAGTTTATTCTTATTTTTGCGATGATTAGAATCGAAGTTAAAAGTATTTGTATATGTGAAACGTTTACGTAGTTAACATTAGACAAGTTTATTTTAGGTTTAAACATGTTTCGTCAGGCTGTTAAGAAACTAGGTATCGACTATATGTCAATTCACTCACTGTCAACAATCTGAATGCTTGTGTTGTACATGCTGTGGTGATAAAGTCACTATGAAGGCATTACTTCTGTTTGTTTTGTAACGTGGGTCATTTTCAAAAATATTTTTAAGTGTTAAAGTAGTAAAAACTAATTTTCTAACATAAAAACTGTCGGTAAGTGTTTCTAAACAGTGGAGGTAGTAGTAATTGTAAAGAAAACTTTTTGTTTTGATTGTATCATTTTATTAACACAAATAAAGCAAGAGTGACATTCTCATGAATGATATTTTTAAAGAAGTTAAAACACTACATGATCAAACAAAAACAAGCTGAAGACACAATGCTGTTTGGTGTCAATGTCCTTAACGTTTTTCAAACATTCATTAGAAATGTTCATAGCTCAAGCCGTTGTATTTTTATTCAGATATTAGCATATCAACTTAAAACTATTTAATGACATTACGTTTCTGAAAGTCAACATATTTTTGAAAACCACCCACATGCCACTTAAATTACTATTTGTGGAAGACAAATATTGTGTTGATCATACAATCAAGTGTGTTTGTGTATGTGTTTTATTTTTTTACCCATTTATTTGTATCTGATCTTGAAGCTGCAATATTATGTAGGACCCAAGCAGTGTATAATCCTCAGTGAAAATGTAATGACATTTATTAATAATTGCAGATTCTTTCATGCCAGATGCTGACAAACAACTTGTGGCAACAGCGATGTCCACAATTAAATGTGTGGTAGTTGGAGATGAAGCTGTGGGTAAAACCTGCCTTTTGGTGTCATTTACAAACAAGTTCCCATCAGAACCAACAGTAAGAACTTTCTTTTCTTTAATTCATGCATGCAGTTCTATACATTGTTCCTCCTTTCCGATTTGGGAAAGAAAAATGCAGCCTTTAAATTCCAGCATTTGCAGCACTATAAACAAAACTCATTTCAGTGTCAATTTAGTTGTCTTGTTCTTTTTCAGGTGTTCAACACCCAATCTGTGACTGTAATGATGGGTGGTGAGCCGTACACCATTAGATTATTTAATGCTGCAGGTATGATAATAACACTATTCATGAAGTAGTGTCAATATATAAATATTTAGATTAGACATAGGACATCCAATTTAGGTGTACAAATTCAATTTAAAACATGGGAATATAAAGACAAACAATGCATAAACATGCACCTGTGTACTTAAATTTTTTAATTATTGTGACAATAAAAATATCAAAATATGGATAAAAAATGACCTGCTGTCACTTAACATAAGACATTTTTATCTAAAAAATAAAAAAAAAGGAAACACATTTATTTGACCTGTGATTCTATACACCAGGGGTTCTCAAACTTGAAGACTGGCGGTGTCCTGTAAAGTGTAGTTCTGACTCCAATCAGACAGCTGACTAATCAACTAGTCAAACTCTTACTAAGCTTTCTAGAAACATCCTTACAGGTGTGTTAGACATTGGCCCTCTAGCACAGTTTTGAGAACCCCTGCTGTATTTAAAGAAAAGGGGATTTTAATAAATGTACAGTATTATATTTAAAGCGATTGAAGATCTTATGTAATTGGTATTCAGTGGCTGTGTGCTCCCTTAATAGAGATTTAAATGTATTTTTGCCAACACTTTACAGCAAAGTTACATTAATGTATTTACTATCAGTAACAGACATTTAACAATACATTTATGATGGTATTGATTCATCGTTGTTACCGTTTGTTAAAAGAAATCGCAGTGCAATAACTAGTGTTAACAAGCTTGAATTTTAATAATGCATTAGTAAATGTTGAACTATGATTGATAACTGTATATAAACTGAAATTCAGATGGGGCAGAGAGTAAAAAAAAAAAAAAGTGAATGGGAGAGGATTTCAGAAAAGTGCCCTGGTCACATTGGAGTTGATTGATGATATGGTCTTATTTTACTGAAAACCCTCCCAATTTTATGATGTATATAGGGCATTGCAAGGTTTTGTTCATTGCATTTTAAGGTTTTATTTGTTATTAACGATTTGTTTGGTCCATGTTTTTTTTCTGAAGGTTTCATGTTAGTCCACTAGGTGGCAGGTGGCAAGTTTTTTTAAACAAAATAAAAAAGTTTCTGTCTTATAAACAAGGTCATATTGTTATTGTTGTTTTTGTAGGTAGATATTTAAACTAATTTCAAACCACTAAAAGCCTGTTAATTATCATTATCAATAATTATCATGTTTTGTTTTCCCTTGTTATTGTCGCCTACTCTTAAATTCCCTGCATAAAAACATAAGATCTGAAAATTTGAGTAATCTAGTTTTAAAAATGAGCTCTTCATACATTTGCATCATTCTTCAGAATAACCTAATGCAGATCAGTAATTATGGCTGCACAATATCGTATGCATGTCCCTAACACACAGACACATTTATGTACAGTTAAAGTCATGTTGTTATTAACCCCTCCAGTGAAATTTGCCTTGAAATTGCATTTCAAACTGAATACTGGTGTCTTGCAAAAGCTAAAAATGCATATTTTGCATTGTCACTAAATTAAAGAAATGAGTTGTTGAGAGATTAGTTATTAAAACTGTTGTTGTTAAAAAGGCTCTCTGTTAAGCCACCCACTGGAATTATTTAGAAAATTATGAATAATTTCACAGGAGGGCTAGGAGAAATAAAAACACAATTCAGGTGTTTAGAAAAAAGTACATTTTATTTTGTTTGACCTGTAAAATCATCATTCAAATAAAACAACAATAAACCACCAAAGGAACTCAAATGAACATGCTCAGTTGTCATTCCAATGGTTTTCAAAAATATGTACATGCTGACTTTTCTTGTTTTTTTAGCCAGTCTCTTGAACTCTTCCCCCTTTATGAAAAAACATTTTTGGAAGTATAACAGCTGTTTGGTATTTCTTATTTTGATCAATTTAAACAATTATAAACAACAAAAACATTTTGATGTTCTGATAGTGATTCCTATGTAGAATAATCACTTCTTGTCCTGCATCAGAATTTTTAATCAAGTGTTACTAGGTAATTAGTTGAAGTTATTTGTAACTAATAAAGGTGTGGTAACTAATAATCTTAAGTTTACAGAATTTGTAATGCAATAATAGTAAAATGCTATACAAATAAAACTGAATTGAAATAGTTAAATTGTTGTTGCTCAGAACAGGATACATTTAAAGCTGCATTTCATTGTTTTTTTGCTTGTTTTTTTAGCTATATATTGTGCATAAGAACTGATCCTCACCTAAATGTTCGAATATGTTGTAGGTCAAGATCAATTACGGCCCCTTAACTATCCCCAAACAGACGTCTTCTTAGTTTGCTTCTCTGTAGTTTCTCTTTCCTCGTTTGAGAATGTGAAAGAAAAGGTGAGTCTGACAATAATCTTTCAATAACCTGCAATAACAAACCGCTAATAACAGATTTCTCTGAAATGCAGTGGGTGCCTGAGATAACCTTTTACGCACCCAAAACCCCTTTTCTGCTGGTTGGAACTCAGATCGACCTACGAGATGATCCTGTGACCGTTGCAAGGCTTGCAAAAAACAAACAAAAACCAATCAAACCAGAGGCGGCGGAAAAATTAGCCAGAGAGTTAAAGGCAGTGAAGTATGTCGAATGCTCTGCTTTAACACTGGTGAGTTTTAGTTTGATGATATGTTGAATTTAAATTGAGTTGCATTTATTATTTTTTTCTTTGTTCCAGAAAGGACTGAAGAATGTATTTGATGAGGCGATATTAGCAGCACTACAGCCTTCAGGGTCCCAGAACACATGCAAATGTGTCATCACATGAGCTGGACAAAGATTAAATTTCAGAAATGTTTCTGAGTGTGAACCAACATGATCTTTTTATTTTTCTACAGGCTTTCATCTAACAGGTGCTTTGACTTTATTGTTTATTCTACCGTTGTTTCCTGGTCATATGATGATTTGTGTGTAGCTTCTACTCTCTGTTGTGAAACCACAGCCTTCAGGTTTCAGAAGGATTCAGATATTAGAGGGAATTAGGGGTAAGTTGCACCACTTTTTATTTAAATGGAAAGTAAAGAATTACAATTATATTTGTAAGTGTTTAGTGTCTATATTTATTTACATTATTTCTGGTATTTATATTTTGAAGAAAACAAAGCTGTCGAAATGTTAATTGGTATTTTGATTTGAGTCACTGTCTGGACTTGCAATATCTGAAAAAATAAATGTATTTTAATTATAAAGGAGAGTTAGAGACTAATAATGTGAAACATTTTTTAAAGAATGATTTATAGAAGGCATCTACTAAAATGTAAACACTTTACACGACAGTAACTATTGTCTGTCATATTAAGAACAAGAGTCTTTTGATGAAATTTAAGAATCACAGTGCAGCTTTATAATACTCATTAAGTGTCATTTAAATCTTTTTACTTTGTCCTTCAAGCCACTAGCTTTGTTAGCAAGATTTTAGTAAGCACAAGTCTGACTTTCACAGGTTTCATTTTGTCATGAATATATCCGTTCAGCCAACTGACAATGAACCTTCGAAATGTTGATTGAGTTAACTGAAACTTGCATTTAGTAAGTGTATAAAACTACTTTGGAAATAAAACATTTGATACAGACACCATAAGGATCTTGTGTTGAACTCACAGGTTTTATACATTGCCTGTTAACCAGCAAAGCATAACACAAGCAGGTTAAGTATAGCTTGGCTTTTATTGTTGAATGCAACATCACTTACTCAGTAACTTTGAGACATTTATTGCACTTCAATATATATTTCACTGCAAAAAGAAAATTTACTAACTGTTTATTTGCTTCTGTACAGTATGTCCCTTCCAGTTTCTTTATTCTGTTTAACACAAAAGGTATCCGGAAGAAAGCTAAAAACCCAGTTCAAAATTCCAAAAAACCAAACACTATCAAAAGTCAATGGTTACAGGCTTCCAAAATATCTTCTTTTTGTGTTCTTCATTTAAACAGGTTTTAAACAAGTGAATGGTGAGTAAATGATGACAGAATTTCCTAACTATTTAAAAAATATATTATATGTCATGTGTTTATTTATATGTCAGATGTGTCATATGTTTATAATGGCAAAATATCTGAATACGTATAAAACTTTTTAAGCTTTATAATGTTCTTTCATTTATTCATTTTCTTTCAGCTTAGTCCCTTATTTATCAGGGGTTGCCACAACAGATTGAATAGCCAACTATTCCACCATATGTTTTGTTTGGGGCATGCCCTTCCAGCTGCAACCTAGCACTGGGAAACTCCCAAACACTAACATTTTCATACACTGACCAAATTTGTTTATTCAATTTACATTTACATTTAGCAGACGCTTTTATCCAAAGCGGCTTACAAATGAGGACAAGGAAGCAATTTACACAACCAAGAGCAACAATGAATAAGTGCTATAGTCAAGTTTCAGGTCTGTAAAGTCTAAGAAGGGAAGTATTAGTAGTATTAGTTTTTTTTTTTTTTTTTTTGTACAGTTAGTGTGATATTTAGAGAGGCAATTGCAGATTAGGAAGTGTAGTGGAGACTAAATAGTTGGGTTTTTAGTCGTTTCTCAAAAGTAGCGAGTGACTCTGCTGTTCTGATGCAGTTAGGGAGTTCATTCCACCAACTGGGCAGATTGAGCGTGAGCGTTCGCGAAAGTGATTTCTTCCCTCTTTGGGATGGAACCACGAGGCGACGTTCATTCACAGAACGCAAGTTTCTGGAGGGCACATAGATCTGCAGAAGTGAGTGCAGATAAGAAGGAGCAAGGCCAGAGGTCACTTTGTAGGCAAACATCAGAGCTTTGAATTTGATGCGAGCAGCAACTGGCAGCCACTGCAAACGGACTAGCAGCGGGGTGACATGTGCTCATTTAGGTTAATTGAAGACCACTCGTGCTGCTGCATTCTGGAGCAGTTGAAGAGGCTTGATAGAGTTAGCTGGAAGCCCAGCTAGTAGAGAGTTGCAGTAATCCAGTTTGAAGAGAACAAGAGCTTGAACAAGGAGTTGAGCTACATGTTCAGATAAGAAGGGTCGGATCTTTCTGATGTTATAGAGTGCGAATCTGCACGATCGAGCAGTTCTAGAAATGTGGTCAGAGAAGTTTAGTTGGTCATCAATCGTTACTCCAAGGCTTTTCACCATTTTGGATGCAGTAATGGTTGCCCCATCCATCTGGATTGAAAAGTTATGGTGTAGAGTCGAGCATTTCCGTTTTTGCGAGGTTCAGCTGAAGATGATGATCTTTCATCCAGTGTGAAATATCCAACAGGCAGGCTGAGATGCGAGCTGGAACCGAGGGATCATCAGGATGAAAAGACAAGTATAGCTGGGTATCATCAGCATAGCAGTGGTAGGAGAATCCATGTCTCTGGATGACTGGTCCTAGAGATGATGACACCTCTCCCCTCCAAGACACCCTGAATGACCTGTCAGTGAGGTAAGATCTGAACCATTGTATAACAGTGCCCGCAACGCCCAGTGACTCAAGCGTAGATAGCAGGATCTGGTGGTTGACAGTGTCAAAAGCAGCTGACAAGTCCAGCAAAATGAGGACTGATGATTTAGAGTCTGCTTTAGCCAGTCTGAGATCCTCCACGACCGAGAGCAGGGCAGTCTCAGTTGAGTGGCCTTTCTTAAAGCCGGATTGCTTGTTGTCCATGAGATTGTTTTGAGTAAGAAAGTCCAGGACTTGATTGAACACTACTTTCTCCAGAATCTTGGCCATGAATGGAAGCAGGGATACTGGTCTGTAGTTTTCAAGTAGCGTATGGTCCAGGTTGGGTTTCTTTAGCAGTGGGGTTACCCTAGCCTGCTTAAATGAAGTGGGGAATAAACCAGAGTCAAGAGATGTGTTAATTATGTGAGTCAGTATTGGTATGACTGCAGGAGAGATGGCTTGCAAGAGATGAGAGGGAATGGGATCGAGTGGACAGGTGGTTGCATGGCTAGATAGCACGAGTTTGGACACCTCAGACTCAGAGAGCTGAGAAAAAGAGGTGAGTGTGTGTGGTGTTGGTGTTGTATCTTGCGTGTTTGTTGTAGGTGCAGCAAATTGAGCACTGATTTTTGCAGTTTTGGTGCAAAAGAATGTAGCAAAGTCATCAGTAGTAAGTGTGGAGGATGCGGGTGGAGGAGGAGGATAGAGGAGGGAGGAAAATGTTTTAAAAAGTAGGCGAGGGTAAGTGGCATTGTTGATTTTCAGACGGTAATATGTCTGCTTTGCAGAAGTAACCTCAGCTGAGAAAGAGGACAGAAGAGTTTGGTATGTTAAGAGATGTGCAGGATTTTTAGTTTTCCGCCAAATTCTTTCTGCAGCTCGAAGTTTTGAGCGATGCTCACGGAGAGCATCCGAGAGCCAGGGTGCAGGAGGACTGGCACGGGATGGCCTGGATGCAAGAGGACATAATCGGTCTAGACATGATGCTAGTGTGGAGCAGAGTGTATCACCTATACCACATGTCTTTGGACTGTGGGGAAAACTGGAGCACCCGGAAGAAACCCATGCCAACACGGGGAGAACATGCAAACTTCACACAGAAATTCCAACTGGCCCAGCTGTGACTCATACTAGCATCCTTCTTGCTGTTAGTCGATAGTGCTCACCACTGAGCTGTCCATCTTTGTAATGTTATATTAGATATTTGTCCCCATGGATAATCATATTGCATGAATTCAGTTGCTAATTTAAACAAATGTAATATACTGCCTGTTAAAGTAATATGTAAAGCACAGCGTCTAGTCAACTGGACAGATCTCCACACAGCTGTTAGTGACCTGTATGCCATTACAGTCTGTCCTAAATTTTGCATTCTTCCCACCATGAGTGAAACGGATAAACCGAACTCCGGGTCCATACTCCTTAAAGACATGGCTCATCTGAAATAAAGCAGAACATTAGTCAGTTTTAGTCAGTAACATTATTATTAAATAAACTATTGGTAATATTCCGCTCACTTGACGCCATGGATAAACACCTCCTTTGGGAAAGAACACTTTCTCTGGCTGAAAGGCACAAACAGGGTTCATCTTCTGATCAAGCAACTCCACACAGATCTGATATTCACTTCTATGATCAGAGCGTGGAGCATACCTGTAAATAAAACAGGTCATGTGAGTAAAGCGCATTAAGCTAACGTGCTTCAGTTAGTTTTTGGTTTAAATCTAGTTTGAATCTAATAATTTAACAAATTAAATAATTTTACCTCCATCTGTTTCAGAAATGTAAGAAGAAAAATGAATGCTAATCTTATATATATATATATATATATATATATATATATTAGGGATGCTCAAAATAATTGATTAACCGTTAACCGAAAGGGTGCGTTTGTAACCGATTGATGATATCAGTTAAAGAATTAAAAAATATATTTTATATATTTTTAGTTTGGCTGCATAAGGTGCGCTTTTTGCGTTAAGAGGGGCATCTTTTAAATGGTTTACTAAAAGCTGCAAGTGTTTTGCACGAGGCTCAACCCAGAGCTGCAGTGTTTGTGTTGTCAAGACAAAGAGAAGAGGTTTCCGCATGATTCCCGCTACATTCATTCTTCCATGGCGAAGCGCCACACCAAAATGCATCCCTCCACGGCTACATTACAGCTTTTCATTCAAAACATTTTAACATTGTTGATGTTGTTTTTAGTAGCGGGTTATAATTGCACCAAAACTAATTAAAAGGTAAGTGAATTATAAAAGCGCAAACATTCTGTAACCCTAGTAGTGCTGTGGGTTATTTGTTAAACCCTTAAGGTGACGTGCTGACTGACTGACCAACACAATCTCACAGCAATTCGTAACTTTTTCATTTAGTGGCGAATTCGTACAATCTAATTTGTACAATTCAGTACGATTTGCTCATCCCCCAGTGACGGTTGGGTTTAGGGGTGGGGTTAGGTGCCACGCCTCCTTGTTAAAATCATACAATTTCATACAACTGAACTCGTACGAATTCGTACAATGTAGCCACTAAACTGGCAAAATGTAAAATAATGTGTTCTCATGAGATTAGGCTGGACTGACTGGTGCGTGATGCCAGCAAACACGACGTCGCTTTCAGTTATGATGAACACAGTTCCCATAATTTTTATTTATTTATAGATGATGGTCTGTGGTTTTGCATAAAGTGACTTTATCTTGCTGGAGTTTATAGACGTTTCACTTTACTTCAGGACGCATTAATGCCGCTTTGTAAGTCTATGGAGACATTCAGAAATATTCCTAACAAATCTAATGAATTTTGTAGACATGCTCGCTACATAAACGTGCTAAATCGCAATTCAGCAGCATTTATTTGAGAGCGCACAAGAAGATCTGCGCTTGACCAGAAAATATTTGAGGGGGTGTGAAAGAGGTTTTGTGCACAAACAGAGGAAGTCGGGGCGCTTTTTCTTGTCAACGTAAAAGGTGTTTTTGGAACGGAAAAGCGCGTTTGCTGTGATCGGCCCCTTAATGTGCAACTGTAACACATATTTGTTAACTTTTGCTAATGTGTAACCGCACGTGCCTAAAGACATATTTGCCAAAGAAGCAAAATGGAAGAAGAATATTGCTGTTTGATACAGACGAGTTAATGCCAAACCAGCGCTGATGCTGATGGCCTCCTGGATCTGCGTCGTAAACACAACAAATAGGCTTTAGCTTTCAATTTACAGCTTATAAAGCATGTATGCAAATTAATGCAATATCATATTTAAACAACAATACTGTTTACAAAAAGTCATCATATGCGCACGTTGTCATTGTCTTATTATTACGCAGCACGCGCACTTGAACCGTGAGTGAGAGAGGAAACCATATCAAGATATAATCTTTAAAATAATGATTTCTAATAAAACTGTTCTGTAAAAATGTTTTGTGATATAATAATAATGGCGGGGCATTAAAAAAAATGCATATCTTTTGTGGAATCAGGGATTTGAGGAAGTCTGCTTTTATTTGATGGAAGAAAAAAACATGATTAAAAAAAAACAGTTCTCAAAAAGGATTCAGTCAGTGTTTTCGATTTTTGTAATATGAATGAATCATTTAAGTGAAAAATAATTTAGGGCCGGCTTATTCATTTTATTTAATTTATTCTGTTCTTCTGGGCTAATCACTGCAGGTGCGTGAAAATGCTCCGTTGTTATGTTCTGTTATTAATATGCTACCATATTTAAATAAATCAGTATTTTAAAATGCAATATTTAATGTGTCAGACACAAAATAGACACTTTTTTTTTATTAAATAGTAATTTAATATTAATCTGACCAGTTAACCGTTAATATCCGATTAACGAGGCTCAGTTGTCGGTTAGCAAAATGAACCGAAATGAGCATCCCTAATATTCATTCATTCTTTCATTATCTTTTTGGCTTGGCCCCTTTATCAATCCGGGGTCATATATATATATATATATATATATATATATATATATATATATATATATATATATACACACACACACACACATTATGTGTATGTATGTATATATATATATATATATATATATATATATATATATATGTGTGTGTATGTATATAATTCATTCATTCATTTTCTTCGACTCAGTCCCTTTGTTAATCTGGGGTCACCACAGCAGAATGAACCGCCAATTTATGCAGCATATGTTTAACACAGCAGATGCCCTTCCAGCTGCAACCCGTCTCTCGGAAACATTCATACACACTCATTCACACGTGTGTGTGTGTGTGTGTGTGTGTGTGTGTGTGTGTGCGCGCAAGTAAAATATTATTTAGTGTCATCATGGCAAAGATAAAATATATCAGTTATTAGAGATTAGAGATTTAATAAGTTATTAAAACTCATGTTTAGAAGAGTGTTGGAAACAGAAATTAGGGAAAAAAGAGACAGGGCTTATAATTCTAAATTCAACTGTAAATATAATACATTTTCTTTATGCAAAGAATATATCTATATATATATTAAGTAAAGATCATGTTCCGTGAGGAAATTTTGTGGTAAATTTTCTACTGTAAATACATCAAAACTTCTGATTAGTACTATGAATTGCTAAGCCCTTCATATAAACGTAAAAGGTGATTTTCTCATCATTTATATATTTTTTTGGAACCTGGCATCAGACTTCAGGCATTCAGACTTGTGGTCAATATAACGTTGGTTTATGATCTCGACTGGCTGGCTCGACGTTGGATTTTGGTCACTTTCCAACACAAACTAAAATCAACCAAATATGTCCAAGTCAAGATCATTTGATCTCATTATTGGATGTCAAAATAACATTGTCATTAGACACTGACTAGACATCGAATTTTGGTCACCTGATGTCACAACGTAAATTTAACCTAATATTAATATATTATGATGTTGAGTGTCCTTCCCTGGAGTCTGAATAAGAAAAGTAGAAGACAAAACTGAAATGTTTCACATTTGTGACAGGACGCCAAAATCTTTAAGGTATGTAGAGCCAATCTGAATAACTCGATTAACCACACCTTACACTGTTTTCCTACTCATCCACACAATACCTGTAATATAATTGTCTGTTAAATATTACAACTTAATTGAAAAACCTTCTTTCACAAACCACTTCTAGGTTATAGTCAAAATGTATTAAACATGTCAGACTTTGTCAGCATTTGCAGCTATAACAGAAAAATGTACAACATTGTCATGGCCAAATATATGCAAAAGCCTTAACGAAAACTCAGCTCTTCATGAAATTAGGTGGGTACATGAAAGTCTAAAGAATCATGACATTTTTTTTTTTTTTTTTATATAAAATTGGTCTATTGGTGGCTTAAAAATGCTGCATTTCGATGGCAAATGACCTGAAATGTTAAAAGCTAACTGAATAATACAGAATATATTTGTGTGCATAAAAAACTAAGCCCTAAACATTGCAGCTAGATTAAAGATGTTTTTTGCTTCTATTGTGTGGGAAACTTGACAGAAAGAGAAGAAAGGAGTGGATAGTACCACAAGCCAAGACTAAATCAAATCTATGTAGATGTTCATTTATTTATTTGTATTTGTTTTTTGGGCTTAGTCCCTTTATTAATTAGGGGTTGCCACAGCGAAATTAACCACTAACTTATCCAGCATATGTTTTATGCAGCGTCCATGCCCTTCTAGCTGCAACCCTTTACTGGGAAACTTATGTAGATACTTCCAAATTAAAGACAAAACAATCTACTATAACTATTTAAAAAATGCTCATCATATAATTGGTTCTAAAGCACACTTTAAGGATTTGTGACCCAGATCATTCACAGACAGCTCATTCACAAGAATTATTCTCATATGGTATGGAATCCACTACTTCAGATACTGTAGTACAGAGTTTGTGTGAACGCTCACCAGTCTGAGATTTTGATATGAGGTTGCCGTTGATCCATAAACATATCACTGTAGCCTTCTTTCTGCAAATCAATCAGCTGTTGCTTCAAACACAACCTGAGAACATCGATTCATGAAATTATTGCATTTATAATGTTGTAACATCGATTGAAATAAAGGATGTAAAATATCAAATATACCCGTGAGATGTTGCAAAACATGTATTGACTGGAAATGTTGGTATATTTCCTTCGGTCGTCCATTGGTGGCCTCCATTTGCGACAAGCTCCCATTGCTGTAATCCAGCTAATAAGTACACCAGAAAAGACATGTTACTTAAAGCTAGTGACGCTTATTGTTGTCTTAAGTATATGAAATTACCTTGTGCGCTGGGATTCTTGATCAAATTACGATTTATGAATCTGGAGCTTTGTGTGGAAAAAGAAGGTACATTTTAAATGTGGACAACTGTACATTACTAAACATAACCTGTATTAGCTCATTTCACATTAACTTTAAGTACCTCTTCTAGGCAGCAGTACCAACTCTTAATATGTAGTTCAATTAAAAGTGAAAATTCTGTTATTAATATGTCGTTCCAATCCCCTGAGACTTTCACTCATGTTTGGACTACAAATCAAGATATTTTAGATGGTATCCAAGAGCTCACCATCATCCATGCACAGTAATGGTCCCAACAAAGTAAAAAAACAAAAGTGGACTCAGTGTCAGTATAGGGCACGCATTCAGGAGAGCATGTTGTGCTCAGTTATGCTGCTGATGTATTACCTTGTGTGCGCCTACACTTTATTTCAAACAGAGGAAGTTATGCGCGGACTTCTGGGGTATACATTAGTGCACAGCGTTTATGAATGTGCGCCCTATACTGACATTGAGGAGAATAAGGGCGTACTCACACTATGCTATCTGAACCATGCCCAAGCCCATTTCCCGAATTGTTTGAGAACTGTGAGTGCACTGATCGGGCTCACGGGCGGTTCACTTGGGCTTTGGCGCGGTACGCTTGTGTGTGAGTGCAAAACGTGCCAAAGCCCGAAACTGAAAGCGAGACGTGACTTTAAAAGACTGTTTCATATGTATTTATTAATCATTCTTACTGTTCAATGAATGCAAACTGCCGTAGTTTATTAAAGATGCAAACCCCTCACTGCACGACAGCTGCGCACCTTCAGCAGACCTCCTCATTCCTACAGCACGAGGACTTTATGGTTGTTTATAAGTGCCAAAAGTGGCGGAGCTGTTCTGCAAAATATCTGACTGCATGTCACCTCATCCCTAAGGACTGTTTGGCGAAATATTTGACTGCATGTCACTGCATATCTAATGACAAACGATATAACTAGAGAAATCTCCACTGTGCTGAGCGAGAGCGTTTACTGAACAGCGCAGAATCGATGACGTAAGCGTGCCCAGGCCCGATTGTAATGTGAGTGCAGGCCGTCGGGGGAGACGGGAGGGGGGGGGGGGGAGGGGGGAAGTGTGCTTTGGCCTGGTTCGAGGCAACTGTACATAGTGTGGGTACGGTCTTAGGCCCCGTTTACACTAGTGCATTTTAGTTTTAAAACGGCGTTTTAGAATGAAAACGATCCGCGTCCACACTCGCGTTTTACCCAGCGTTTCTAAACTCGCTCTCCGTCCACACCAAAACGCTGAAAACTCACATCACGTGACCACACAGACACTCTCGGGCAAGCGCTGCAGCCCATCTACCCAGATGAGAGCTCTGCTGGTCGGACTTCTCATCAAGCATCTCCCGCTGGATCTAATCTCACTATATTTATTAAACGAGATATTTCATTCATCTTGTTGTCTTTATCTAACGACATATTCCCTGACTTTGGTCAATGGAATCTATTACTTGTTCTCAGGTAGGCTAACGTGTTTTGGCTGAGCGCAAAGAAGTTAATGATTAATGTAACCACGTAGCCTATTCTGTATATTGACAGATCGCTTGCCTTTATTTCCTATAATGTATAAACTTATTGTATGTTATACTTTTATAATGGCCATTATCGATTATTAAAACTGATATTCAGCAAAAGAGAGGGTGTGTTTCGTATTATCACTGAAATTGAAAGGAGACAGTTGTTATCGGCTCCGTTTTGTTTTAAATATCCACACTGTGTAGATGGTGCAACACGGCGCCTCAACATTTCTGCTGTCTGTTAAGTTGCTAATATTAAAATGAAAATAGGCAGTTCCTTAAATCATGTTTACATTTTATTGTTGAAAAAGTGAAACAACGTAGCCAGGGTGATGTGAATGAAGTTATAAAGTACACTGTTCCCTTTGAAGATTTACCCGTGTCCTCGGTATAGTCTGCTTTTCCATATCAAACTGAGAAGAAGAGACTGCAGCCTTGATCAAACTTGCGAAGTCTGAACTTACAAGGAGATGATGCAGGATTGAACTGTGTGTGTTAGGCTACTTAATATTCAGGAAAAGCCCCAATCAGAGAGGCGAATGTCTGCAGCCCCGCCTCCGATTTCAGATGTCTCTGTTTTCCATCATCCACGCTGAGACGGAGCAGCAGCGTTTCAGAATGAAAACGGCCTCTCCAACGTTTTTGAAACGCTCCGTTTTCGGCGCTCGAGAACTCTGGCGTAGTGTGGACAGTTGGCGTAACCGTAGCAAAACTTATGCGTTTTCAAACTAAAACGCATTAGTGTAAACGGGGCCTTAGTCATAAGTTTTGATTCTGTATTCATGTAGCTTCATAATAATCAGATTAAACACCACTGAAGACACGTGGACTGTTTTCAAAATTTGTTTGGTACCTTCATGGACTTTGAACAAGTCAGGACCATTTTGGTCTATGGTGGATCAGGGAGCCCTCAGATTTCTCAAAAAAATGTTTGGAATTTGTGTTCTGGAGATGAACAAAGGTCTTGAGGGATTAGAACAAATTTAGCTTAAATTGTTCAAATTTGCACTTTATTTTATTTATTTTTTTATGTTTTGTTTTACAATATATAGGTCAATGCATTGTTAATCTGCATTACACATTTTAATTAAAAAAAGTTCTGAAAAGCTCCACCTTTCATCATCTGGACAGATCTCCACACTACTGTTGGTGACTATGATTCCATAATGACCTGCCCAGTTGTGTGTATCCTTCCCTCCATGAGTGAAACTGATAAATCGAACTCCAGCTCCATAGTTTTTAAAGACATGTGCCGTCTAAAATAGAGCAGAACAAACAGGGACAGTTAGGCTTTGACTGTTCACTTGATTTAAACGCTCCACCATCATCCCAATCCAGAAGAAGCCAAAGATCACAGGACTCAGTGACTACAGACCTGTTGCCTTAACATCTGTGGCCATGAAGTCATTTGAAAGACTGGTGCCAGCTTATCTGAAGGACATCACCTTACCTTTGCTGGACCCCCTGCAGTTTTTTTACCCTACAACATCTAGACAAACCAGGGAACTACACAAGGATTCTGTTCGTGGACTTCAGTTCTGTCTTCGACACCACCGTCCCATCACTGCTCGAGTACAAACTTATCCAGCTCTCTGTTCCTACTGTAGCTATGTCTGTCAATGGATCACCAGCTTTCTGACAGCTAGACAACAGCTAGTCAGAATGGGCAAAATCACGTCCAACAGCCGCACCATCAGCACAGGTGCCCCCAAGGATGTGTTCTTTTCCCACTGCTCTTCTCCCTGTACACCAACGACTGCACTGCAAAAGACCCCTCCATCAAACTCATTAAGTTTGCGGACGACACTACTGTTATCTGCCTCATCCGGAACAGTGACGAGTCTGTATACAGACAGAAGGTGGAGCAGCTGGCTTTATGGTGCCGATACAACATCCTGGAGCTGAACATGACTAAAACAGAAGAGATGATAGTAGATTTTAGGAGAAACCCCCCTGCACTCCTCCAACTTACTATCATGAACAGCATTGTGGCTGCAGTAGAGTCATTCAGGTGCCTGGGCACCACCATCTCTCAGGATCTGAAGTGGGACATTCACATAGACTCTATTGTGAAGAAAGCCAAGCAGAGACTGTACTTCCTCCGTCAGCTGAGGAACACCACCGTATTCAATTACTTCAATCACCATCTGGTTAGCTCATTTGCCAAAATTGACCTCCGTAGACCACAGCGAATAGTCCGGACTGCTAAAAATCACAGGCACTATCCTTCCTACACTTCAAGAACTGTACTCTTCCAGAGTGAGTAAAAGGGCTCGCTAAATCACTGTGGACGCCTCACACCCAGCACACTTCCTGTTTGAACTGTTACAGTCTGGTTGGCGCTTTAGAGCACCAAGCACAAAAACAGCCAGACACAGGAAAAGTTTCTTTCCTCAGGCCATCTACCTCATGAACAGTTAAATATTCCCCTATTGTGCAATAAACATGTGCAATACTTTCTCATACGCACTTGTACATACCACCTTTTAACTTGTTTTTTTAAACCACATTATATTTTAACCATATATATATATATATATATATAATACGGCCAATTATCCAATTATCTATAATCAGAATCAGTTTTATATATATACATATATACATACAACAGTTCTGTCTGGTTCTGATTGGCTGATAGCCGTGCAATGTTTTGCAAATAACAGCACTCGTCCAGCCTCTTCATCCTTTTGTATTACTCCACCCACATACAGCGACAAGCAGAGGACACTACAGTTTTTTGACAAATATTGTTTTTGGACAACATAATGTACTTTTGAGGGGGTTTTTTTAGACAAGAATGTAGTTGTTTAGTTTGCAACTATGCAGTTTATTTATAAAGCCTGGTTTATACTTCTGCGTCAAGTGACCAGCTTAACCCACGGCGCATGCAACACCTGTGTCTGTGCATTTATACTTCTGCACGCTGTCTCTGTTGGTCTGCATTAACACTTCCGAAACGCTAGTTGGCAGTGAGGTGTAAATTTTCCTGAACACTTCCTGGATGTACAAGTGGCTCAAACTCGCTCATTTTGAGGCAGGAACTGGCAGACGTGCAAGAACTTTAACTATGAGGTAAACACAAAACAAAACTTTCCATCCGGAGCTCCTTCACGGGACTCCACACTTGTAAACAATCGCTCCATTGGGCTAGCGCCACTCGCGCGGCTCTCGGTCCCACCCAGACTCGTCAGCGCTACCAAGCCGACCAATCACAGAGCTTGCGATACGCGTTGTTGCGACATGTTGATAAATTTTTTGAGAGGTGAACGTCAGTGACGCCAATGGCCACGGCGAAGGGCTATGCATCAACGCCGTAGCATACACCGGCGTTTGACGCAGAAGTATAAATCAGCCTTAAGGATAGTGCCTATTTTAATTATTTATAATTTCGGAGCATCGGATTCAGCGCATTGGCCACCATCAGCCTGTCTGAGCTGACCAAAGAAAGTGACAGTTGATATTCCGCCACAAGATGGAGACAGAGACCACATAAGAAGTCCTTAAAGGGAGAAAAACTGCATTTTCTCAGCATAAATTTCAAACTACAGCAGAAAAAAAATCATTATAAATCAGGTAAGTGACATTCTGAGTCGATCTCTCTCTTTTGTAATTTGTATTGCTGAATTTTTACCACAGAAACTGGTAGTGTTTGCTTTACTCTGACTTTTTTAGGGTTAATTATTGTCAAATCCCAATTGCAACAGAAAAACCAGGAAATCTCTGTAGACTGATGGCATGTTATGCTGTTCAGCCTTATAAATTTTTAAATGTGAGCAAATATTACTTGTTTTGTCATCACTTTAGACATTACGCTAGAAAATCATTCAAAATACAGTACTAGCTCTAAAGTGACATCAGTATAGTAGCAACGGTTTCTGTGTGGAGGACACTAAGGCACTTGGCCTGCGGCATAGTATCGAAGTGCACCTCCCATCAGTGCCGATGTACAGCCAACTCACACTCCTACGAGTGTGCTAATGCTCATTTATATATATATATATATATATATATATATATATATATATATATATATATATATATATATATATTAGGGATGTAACGGTATCAGAATTTCACGGTACGGTAATACCTCGGTATGAATGTCACGGTACGGTATTTATTGAATCATTTACAGGAAAAAAAAAAAACTTTTGAAAATACTCCAAAAAAGTGCCAAAAGTGTCAATGACATACAAATTAGCCATCTATCTGTTAGCTTTGAAACAGGAACTTCAATTTTAATAACAAAAAATTATTAAACCATGTAAAAAAATAAAGTTTCAATTTAGTATTGTTGAAAACTCATCACATTTAACATTTAATCACTCACTTAGATAGAGATGGGTTTAAAGAAAAATTATCATATAAATATAATCTGGTAAAAGCTGGTATCTCTGGGTATTTACAATGTCCCCTGCAACAGAAATAAACCCTCTCATTTGGGACTGAGGTTTCTGGGACAAGAGAGATATGACTTGGCCCATGTTGACAGCAGTGGGTAACGTTGTGCATTGTCTTTCCCCCACTTGAGAAGACAAACCATGAGTGAGATAGAGGTCTCTTTGCGGTACAAGTCAATGTCTGCATCAATCTGAACAGTGTGCTGTGTTTCTGCAGTCCCCATGACTGTTATTAGTCGTATTCCCTAACTTGCAAGCACGTGCACACATAGGGCTCAACCTGTGCAGTGCACATGCCCTTTTTAGTCTTGGATAGAAAATGCCCTTCCAAAACGATCAAAAGTGCCCCCGTGACGCGACACAACCTCCGTCCAGTCCAGCCCTTCAGTAGGCGCGCGACAACACCTCTCCTGAGTATGCGCGCTCAACCCCCCCTCGGCGCTTTACAATACGCGCGCCACAACACAGCTGATCAGAACGCGCGCGACAGCACCGCTATTCAGCACGCGCGCGGCGACAACACCCGCTTTAGGTTCGATCATTTCCATCTTTTTTTCATCTCCGCTACTAGCAGCACACTCCATTTCCGCATTACTGGATCTGTAGCGACAACAGACCGCAAAGGATTATGGCCACGCCGGGGCTGATGGGAAATGAAGTTTCAGCTACCTCCCGTTCGCTTCATTCGCCTGAGCAAATTTTCTCTGAAGACCTATAGTTTTACCGAGTCATGCGACTTCGGTAATATCGAAAAAATTTAATATTGCGGTATGACGGTATTTACAATACCGTTACATCCCTAATATATATATATATATATATATATATATATATATATATATATATATATATATATATATATATATATATATATTAGTGCTGTCAAAATTAATTAATGCAGTTGCTATTTTTTTTATTTCCTGTTGTGGTCGACGTGTGTTCAACATGCAAAGAAATATGAATAAGGCCAAGGAAGCGCTTTTTGAAGGCAAGTTTCAGTATAAAACAATTAATGTCGCATCACCAGGCTCTCCAGCGTTTTCTCCAGAGTTTCATGCAAATTCAGGTGTTTCATTTTTAACTTTCGATTTCCGTCTTAATGGAATTTGATACCGCATGGCGAAAGGAAAGAAAAACCTCCGCATTTCGTGACTCAGTGGTCCTTTAAGGTAAACAAAAATTGCTGCTTACATGGTAGACTCTTAATAAGAGTATTATCTTAATCATATTAAATTCGGAGTATTGGTTTTTTATGTACATGTACTCAGAAAGTGACATGATGTCACAAGCTGTCAGACAGCACATTCATCTGCCTTTCAGCATGAGCCCTAAAATGTGTCATTAAGTTTGACGTGTTTCCCCCTTACACGCATGTGTCTGCTTTACTTTGTTGTGTCAGAATCCTTGTGAAATACAGCCAAACTTTAGAACGCTTAGTTTAAGCAAATTAGATGAATGTGATCATGTGTGCTGAAGTGAGTCGCTCCGCCTGCCCTGTCCTGTCCTGTGCGCATGTGTGTGTGATCTGTCTGTTTGTCTGTCTATCTGTGTGTCTGTCTGTCTGTCTGTCTGTGTGTGTGTGTGTGTGTGTGTGTGTGTGCACTTTCTTAGCAACAAACCTGCATAAACTTCCGTAGCCACTAAATCAAAAAGTTACGAATCGAATTGCTGTGAGATTGCGCTGCACTCTCAGCTCACATCATTCAAAAGAAAAGGGGCAGATCGTCCCCCGATAATGTCAACAGACTGGACTGTTTTAGCAACTGACTAAATGTAAGAGGACTGAGTAAAATTGTTTTTACTTTATATTTAACAATCTCAACAGCAATACAACTTTACTAAGAGTGCAATTGTTTGTATTTAATACTTTATTGTTATTCTAATTTTCCATTTTCCATATCTGCAATGCCTGTATTTTGGCATTTGTTTGCAGTCCACTTAGAATCCAACTTGGAATTTTTTTTTTCTTTATTGGCATTGATTGTTTTAAAATTCAAATAATATTAACATGCCTGTGTTTTAATTTCTGCAATAAATATGGCTGCCAAGCCAGGATCTTAATGGTTTATTGTGGGTATGTTGTTTACATGAAGAAATCTGTGTTACAAGTTAAACAAAAATTCTAATAAACAATTATATTTTGAATTTAAATAGTTTTTGTCTTGCGTTTACATTAATTTTACATTTGAACAGCCAAAATGACAAGTTTCAGTCTTTTAAATGCAATTAATCCCAATTAATTTTTTTAAAAAGGTGCGATTAATTAGTTATTTTTTATCCATTGACAGCACTAATAAATAAATAAATAAAATAAATAAATAAAAAATATATAGATAGATAGATAGATAGATAGATAGATAGATAGATAGATAGATAGATAGATAGATAGATAGATAGATAGATAGATAGATAGATAGATAGATAGATAGATAGATAGATAGATAGATAGATAGATAGATAGATAGATAGATAGATAGATAGATAGATAGATAGATAGATAGATAGATAGATAGATAGATTCATTTAAGATAGAAAGAAGATTTAAGTGACTTGGATCATGGCATGGTTGTTGATTGCCGATGGGCTGTTCTGAGCATTTCAAAAACTGCTGTGTGCGCCAATGCCTTGTTGATGTCAGAGGAGAATGGCCAGACTGGTTCTATCTGATAGGGCAACAGTAACTCAAATAAGCACTTGTAACAACTGAGGTATGCTGAAGAGCATCTGAACGCAAAACATGTCAAACTTTGAGGCAGATGGGCTACAGCAGCAAAAGACCACACCGAGTGTCACTCCTGTCAGCTAAGAACAGGAAATTGAGGCTACAATTTGTATGGGTTCACAAAAATTGGACAACAGAAGATTGGAAAAACGTTGCCTGGTCTGATGAGTCTCGATTTCTGATGTGACATTTGGATGGTAGAGTCAGAATTTGGCATCAACAGCATGAAAGCATGAATCCATCCTGCCTTTTATCAACGGTTCAGACTGGTGGGATATTTTCTTGGCACGCTTTGGGCCCATTAGTACCAATTGAGCATTATGTCAATGCCACAGCCTACCTGAGTATTGTTGCTGACCATGTCCATCCCTTTATGACCACAGTGTACCCATCTTCTGATGGCTACATCCAGCAGGATAAAGCCCCATGTCATAAAACGTGAATCATCTCAGACTGGTTTCTTGAACATGACAATGAGTTCACTGTACTCAAATGGTCTCCACAGTCCCCAGGTCTCAATCCAATAAAGCACTTTTGGGATGTGGTGTAATGGGAGATTCACATCATGGGTGTGCAGCCGACAAATCTGCAGCGACTGCGTGATGCTAGCATGTCAATATGGACCAAAATATCTAAAGAATATTTCTAGCACCTTGTTGAATCCATACCACAAAGGAGTAAAGCAGTTTTGAAGGCAAAATGGGCCCAAACCTAAAGGAGTGGCCAGTGAGTATGTGTACATACATACATACATACATACATACATACATACATACATACATACATACATACATACATACATACATACATACATATATATATATATATATATATATATATATATAATATGGCCACCAAAAAAAAACTCCCATTAAAATGTTAATGTTACTTTTTCATTTCTTAAAAATAACAATTCATTCCTTTTACAGCATCGATAATGTAATTAGTGTGAGTCCCACTTTATACGGTATCTCAATCAGGCAGCTTACAATTGTTGATTTTGAACAAACCATATGTTAAACAGTCTTTTTTTTTTTATTTTAAGTGCCCGTGCATTTAGCCTGTTGGACCCTCTGTATTAAGCTACTCACTTGACACCACGGCTGAGAGTTCCCAAAGTGAAATAACACTTTCTCAGGCTCAAAGGTACTGATGGGTTTCTTCTCCTGATCAAGCAACTCCACACAGATCTGATACTCACTTCCACAATCGTTACGAGGTGCATACCTGTGCCAAAAATATATAATACAAAATTTACTCAAACAAGATCATTAGTCAAAGGCACTTGAAAAGTAAGTGAAAAAGCCTTTATTGACAGTGTTATTGTTTTAAAAAATCTTTATGCATCCCTTATCCAAGGAGTACCGACACATCAATTACCGCTGAAGCCCTTTTTGTTTGATTTTGGATTTATAAAATAAAAGTTTTCTTAAAGCTTTGTGTTCATATTAAAGCTCATTTGAGTCTAAAGCTCTTACAGTGTTCTTAAAGAAGTTTGCTGCAGCAAAAATGAAAATTCATGTCAATAATTTGTTGTTCTTTAAAATTTCTCTATTTAAAAATTTTTTTTATGTAAAGTTCAAAATCAAAAAGCTTGGAACAACAGAAGGACAGAACATTTAGGTGAACAGTGCCTTTAAAAACGTTTTACATGAAATAAAACTTCAGGGAAAAAAATGAAATGGGAATTTGAATGAACGCTCACCAGTCTGATATCTTGATATGAGGTTGCACCTGATCCATGAAAGTATCACTGTAGCCTTCTTTCTGCAAATCAATCAGCTGTCGCTTCAAACATAACCTGAGAACAAAGATTATTGCTGATTGGTGTTTAATTATTGATTTATTATTAAATTGCAACACTGACTGAAATTTAAGGATCTAAATGATCAACCGTACCCAAAAGACGTTACAAAGCATCTAGTGACTGTGTCCGTAAGAGGTTTGCTATTTTCTGCTGTCACCCAGCAGCCGCTTCCACTATGTACCATCTTCCATCCTTGAAGTCCGTCTAATGAGAACATCAGAGAAGAGATGTTACTTAATGCAAAATAGAATGATTATAGCAAGTCTTATTGTACAGTCTTCACCTTTTGCACTGGGATTAATCAGCAAGTTGGATTTCGTGCATCTCAACCTACAAGTGGAAACAAACAAAAAAGATATACATTATAAAATCCTTTCTGCTGTACTGGAACACAATTAATGGACATCAAACTTGAGAACCATAAATATCTTGCAGTGAAGCGTCTTGTTCTTTCAGGTTTCTCTGTTCTGTCCCTAACATATACTGTTTTTGTGATCCATCATTAGTCAGACATGTTGGAGAGCAAATTGTAAACAAAGCCACTGAACCTATTGCTGCTAAAAACGATCAATTATGGTAATGTTTTGGGTTGTACTAATCAGACCAAAAAACATAAATTAAAAAAAATAGAGTACTAAGAGTACTAATGATGAACAAAATTCACAACCAAATCAAGGAGAAAACAGGCTATTATTGAAGTCAGTTTGAACATTTCCTTTTTCCCCTCTTACCACAAGGTTCTCTAGCAGCTGTCATGCATTTCCCCATGGATTAGACAGCATAAATAAGCAGAACAATGTATTCAGTAGTAAATTACCATGCAATCCAATGCTGGTATTTACATCCAAGTATCGAGAATATGACAGAGCATACAGGTAACTAACTATATCATAACATGAATGAAACTCCATATATGGTAAATGTGATTATATCCCAATAAATACAGTAAGGGCTACTCATATAAAACTTGCATTTTTCAAATTATTTCTGAAAAGTGTTCATTTTTTTTATATTAACATTAGACACATAAATGGTCACTGTTTTAATCTACTGGCATCCGAATGCAAAACACATTTTCATGGATGGTTACTTGGCGCCATCATGAATATCACTATAATCATAAAGCCAATGTCAGTAATAGAGCAACAATGAACATGAGTTTGAGAAAGTCACATCTGTACCATATCAGTTTATTTGTGGCTTGTCTATGTGTTTTTCCACAGCAGAATGTGCACAGTGAGCTTTATTGAAAGCTTGGTGGTTCAGAGGTAAAGTTACATGTCAAATGAATAATGTGTATAATATGTAATATGTAGTTATAATATCTATGCCTTATAGTAATTATGCTTCATGAGTCCATGCTTTTTACAATTATGGTGTGTTTAATCATATTAGTTTACATAATGTATAGTTTAATAAGTATATTGCCATTTTCAATCTCATTATAATTATGAGGGTGCATGCAAACATACTGATTTACTGGACCAGAAAGAATGCATTTAAAGTAAAGCTTTGTAAAGTTAGAACACTTTAAAAGTCCTCATCTGAGAAGCTGTGAAATCCTTCTGGAAAGTTGTACCTCTCTGCAGCTGGACAGATCTCCACGCTGCTGTTAGTGAGTCTTATTCCATTATGGCCCCTCGGGGTCTGTTTACCCAACCCACCATGAGTGAAACGGATAAACCGAACACCAGGTCCATAATTTCGGAAGACATGTGTTATCTGGAATAAAGCAGAACAAACACGGTATGGTTAAGCTTTGACTATTAGTTTGAGTAACTGAACCGTCAGTATTTTTCCGCTCACCTCACACCATGGATAATTGTCCCCTTCCAGAAACATTTTATACGGATGATAACTAGTAATGGCTTGCATCTCCTCATCAAGCAGTTGCATATTGACTTGATATAGGTTTTTGTAATGAGTGTTTGTGGTATACCTGCAGATAGACAACAAACCAATGTGTTGCTGTTTGGAGAATATTAGAGCCTGAGTGTAATGCACAGATCGTTCACAGGAATTCAATTCCAATAAATGCAAAATTCAGATGCTGTAGCACGAGTTGTGAGTTGTGTGAATGCTCACCAGTCTGAGATTTTAATGTCAGGTTGCAGTTGATCCATGAAAGCAGCACTGTAGCCTTCTTTCTGCAAATCAATCAGCTGTCGCTTCAAACACAACCTGAGGACAGCGATATTGGTTGATTCATGCTTCGTTTACATTTTGTATCACTGATTGTGTTTACATGGACATCGGAAACTGAATGATTTGCCTAAATCTGAATAATACAATAATATGATTAAGGTTTTTACATGAGTTGCTTTTTGAATGTTCCTTTCATGATCCCCTTTTACATGTTATAGCACATAATACGATTAACGTCATTGCCGTCATGTAATTTTGGGTGTCTAAACTGCACTTCAATAATGCGACTAAAATCGGCACACTCCACATGTCAATCTGATTTCTACTTATGAACTTAATCGGATTAAATTTATCAAAAAACGCTGTTTACATGGTAAACTCTTAATCAGAGTATTGTCTTAATCAAATTAAAATCCGATTATTGGTGTCCATATAAATGTACTTGTAAGGTTTACCCAGTTGGCCAAATGAAGGCGTCCACTGGTGGATGAAGGTTCACTGTGTGTTTGGCCTTTCCAGTGCACAATGTTGAATTCCTTAAAATTTTACTCATATATGACTCCAATTTTAACATGATGTGGTTTAGAATATTAATATATTTATTTTTCGTTTTTCTGACTATAATTATAAAACATTAGGAAGATTATATCAATATATAGTTAAATAAAAAATAGTTATATAAATGTTTGAACCTTTTGTCTTTACCTGTAATTATTACATTGGTTAATTTGGGTGCTCATGTCGCTCAGAGGAATCGCCTCTGCCATTATTATAAACATAACTGACTACTGTTTTCTATAATAATTTTGGATTAGCCAAGCTCATGGTTTCCCATGTATATTTAATTTAGAACAACATTACGTTCAAACAAGGCTCAGGCACCCTATCTAGGTTAGTCGTGCAACATCTTGTTCCCCAAGACGGAAATAACCCCTTTTCCACCAAAGTACACTTGAATCAATATCAAGAGTCATTCGGATCTCTAAAATAAAGTTAATGTGCCCGATGCTCCATCTCAACTGGACTTTAGTCCGTCTACTGACCTGACGCAGGAAGTGCGCAAACAAGGATCCAGCGTAATCTACTAAAATAAATAATTACAGAGTTAAGCAGAATGCGTTCAAACATAATAATTTAACAGTCAGGTAAATGTGTATTATGCCAATTATTCAGTCAATTCCTAAACAATACAAGACATCAAATTCAATAAATGCATACCTGACTTCATAATATATATAATATAGGGCTCTATTTTGACGGTCCATGCGCAGAGCGCAAAACGCAGGGCGCAAACGCTTTCAGGGCGTGTCAGGATGCGTTTTTGCTAATTTAAGGACGGGAAATCTGCCTTGCGCCACGGCGCAATGGTCTAAAAGGGTTGAGTTTATTTTCTTAATGAGTTATAGGTGTGTTTTAAGAATAAACCAATTAGAATCTTATCTCCCATTCCCTTTAAGAGTCAGCTGCGTCGTGCCAAGAGCGCATTCGCTATTTACAGGACGCAAAGTAAGTCTAAGTGGAAAGTTTCTGTTTTTTAACAAAAAACTGTTTAAACAGAGCATCTACTGCTTGAGAATGAGAGATAATGGATCACTTTCACTTTCGCTCTTGGATAGGGAAACCTTTACGCACAGACATCAATTAGTCTATAAATAAATACTTTAGTTTGTTAAGCGCAAAGATTTGTTTTAAAACTATTTCTAAATTCAGTTCTAATTTCCAGCAAACAAATAAATGAATAATAATAGCAAAATGTGCAAATCTAAGCTTGCTTTTAATAAAACAAATATAAATATGGATATAATAAATAATACTGCTAATAATAATAACATTATACAAAAGCAAATTGTTATGAATTAACTGAAAAAGCCTCCCGAGATGAAGAAGACATAAAAGTAGTGATTTTTCATATTTATAGGCTAGAAAATAATATGTTTTGTAATATTTTAATCCTTTATATTTATATTCTATATCTACTATTATTATATACTATATATATATATCCTTAATATTTACATTTTTTCATATGTAAAGATATTTGCCTATTGCTCTCTTGTGCGTATTAAGCAGTGTGTAAGCGAGGCGCAACTCTGCGCCGGACTTTAGACTGGGTTAGTTTTGGTCTAATGAAAAATCTATTTTAGTTTCTCAAAATAGCAACGCACCAGCGGTCCGCCTCAGAACGCCTTCCTTTTTAGACCAGAACGCCTATGGGCGCACATCTGAGCGCTAATGCATTTGCTATTTAAACAGCGTAGCTCAGCGCCTCAAAACGACTCTTGCGCCAAGCTGAAACTAACAAAAGACTACTGCGCCACGCCTTGCGCCACACTGCGCCGGGTGTATGATAGGGCCCATAGAGTATGAGAGCTCTATATTATGGGTTAATCTGATTAAAGAATCGCCCAGAGCTTCTTGACGCTTTCCCCCATAGTCAACCCATAGCAAAACATTCTCCAAGTGGGGGTGTCTGAAACAACAATGTTAACCCACTTGCTGTGGGAATCAGGAGGTAATTTGGATAGAGGACCCTGATAAATAACACCCCTTTCTGAAGTGGACCAAAGATACCTAACGTTTCAAGCGTTTATTTAGATTATGCCTATTACTATGAGAACGAGACCATTGTACCAGTCGCACTGAGACATTTCAAATGGTATCAAACATGATGCAAAAATACACTTGCATTGATACAAAACATTCATACTTTAAGATGACTATTCTTTCTCTTCGTTCTTTGAGTTGGGTGAAGAAGAGTGTGGGTAAAGAAAAAGGGAGTGCAGGAGAATAATCTTCCTTCATTCTCACTCAATTTCTCTGTTTATTGACCTTATTCTTTATTGCAGAAGTGCCCTTGTTTTAGAACTTTCGATTCAGATGAGAGAAATGACCTTATTATATTATTCTATAATAATATAATAACAAAATATCAGTTTGCCACATCAAGCAGCATAACAAGCTGTTTTAACATCTAAAAATGAATGCAAGTGAGGGAGACTGGAAGTCTCAAGCCAAAAACATTCAAATGGCTGCGCCCGCTCGTACGCGAAGAATAAAGTGAATATATCCTGTTTGCATTGTCCATATTTGAATGCATAAAAAGTATCTGGGATTTCTTACATACTCACTGACTGAAATGGAAAGAACACAGAACTAACTCGAAAGATCTATAAATCAAACATACCCATTAAATGATACAAAACATCTGGTGACTGTGTTTTCCGGAAATGGTTTTCTATTTTCTTCTGTCAGCCAGCAGGCATCTCCATTACCCGCAATCTCCCATCCCTGCAATCCAGCTAACAACAAACAACCAAATAAGAGATTTTACCTGAAAAATGATTAAAGTGCATCCACTTACTGCAAAAATATTAAACACATGACTCACCTTCAGCTTTGGGATTCTTGATCAGGTTACGTCGATTCTTATTTAGGATGTAAAACTGGCACCAGTCCACTGGCGGTCTGGAAGCATCACAGGGCTGAATCCCCTCTCTCCGACAGCGCTCTCTCCAGTGTGCAGCACTGTCCACCAGCTCTTTCCACTCAGGACACACCAGACGACACACTCGCACCACCTGATGAGCGGGCAGGTTCAGCAAGATCTCCTCGACCACATCTAAAGGTATCTCTAACTGCACCCCTGAGTCCTGACAGAGAGAGAGAAAAGTTTTAACCCTGTTGGAAATTCCACTTCTGGAACATGGCTGCCAGTTTTCAGCATTTATTCCCAGCAAACATGCTCATGCACTACCCATGCTGGCTTTTTGCAGGCACAGTGAGCTATTACCCGGCAACCTCAAATCTAATGAAGCCCAATGCATACATTTTTGTAAATGTTTGAAATTAGGAATGTTTCTGCAGAAGACATGTCAGTGTTTATTTTGATGTATTATTTTATAATGTAAATATTTAAATATTTAGGTAGAATTTTGATTGTTTATATGCATGTTTATATATAGTTGAATGCGAAATTATTAGCCCCCTTTAAACTGTTTTTTTCTTTTTTAAATATTTCCCAAATGGTGCTTAACAAAGCAAGGAATTTTTTAATAAAATTTTGGAATATTATTTTTTTTATATTAAAAATCTGATAATATTTTTTCTTCAAGAGAAAGTCTCTATTTTTAATTTTGGCGAGAATAAAAGCAGTTTTACATTTTTTAAAAGCCATTTTAAGGTCAAAATTATTAGCCCCTTTAAGCTGTATATTTTCATTAGTCTACAGAACAAATCATCATTATACAATAACTTGCCTAATTACCCTAACCTGCCTAGTTAACCTAGTTAAGCCTTTAAATGTCACTTTAAGCTGTATAGAAGTGTCTTGAAAAATATCAAGTTCAAATATTATTTACTGTCATCATGGCAAAGATAAAATAAATCAGTTATTAGAAATGAGTTATTAAAACTATTATGTTTAGAAATGTGTTGAATTTTCTTTTTCTCTTCGTTAAACAGAAATTGAGGAAAAAATAAACAGGGAGCTTCTAATTCAGACTTCAACAAATATTTATATTTATTTATATATATATATATATATATATATATATATATATATATATATATATATATATATATATATATATATATATATATATATATATATATATATATATATATATGTTTGTGTGTGTGTGTGTGTGTGTGTGTGTGTGTGTTTAAATACATCTTTGTGTGTTTTTGTTTCTTTGTAGTGGCACCACAGTAAAAACTTTGCAAAGGGATAGTAGCCTACAGCTGCATTCAAGTCAACTGGGACACCGCCATTCCACTATGTTACATACGACCATGGGCATAAATCTGATTTAGCTGTAGGGGGGGGACAATAAATTTAAATTTTCTTCCGAGCATTTTTTTGAAGGGGACACAAATAATACAGACGAATTTTACTAATAAAGATATGTCCCCGCAGTTAAAAATGGTTTCATTATAATTATTATTATAGCATGGAGACTTCATCATTATGATTATTGTCTTAAGTTTTTCTCAGGTTCAATGACAGCAAATTTTACTTCAAAACTATTTATTGCATT